CTCTCTCCATAGCTCGCTGAGCGACTTTGAGCGTCCCCCCCTTGAGCAGCCCCCGGTGGGTTTAGGATGTGTCGTTTTCCCCGTTCTTTAATCGTCGATACCTCCGGTTGAAGTTGGACTTACCAGCATCGTTTCTTGGCCCATTGAGCAAGTGCTTAAGTCCTCAGCGATTTCCAACTAGCAGAGTTTTAGCGTCTTCCAATGCAGCGGTGAAGATTCAGGGTACGATGTCTTAGACCTCTCTGCAGTTGGATAGCTTTCGAACTCTGGTTCTGTACTCGGATAGCCATCGTAGCCCTACTGTACAAACACTTCAGCACCTCGATATACTGACAGTCAACTTGGCACCGCTGAAGGGACTGTAGCACCTCCCAAATTTCGACGGAATTGAAGGCTTTCTCATAGTTCACATACGCCAGGCAAAGTGGCAGATTGTACTCTTCGGTCTTCTGTACAATCTGCCGCAGGGTATGTATGTGGTCTATGGTACTGAAGCCTTTTCGGAAACCGGCTTGTTCGGGAGGCTGGAAGTCGTAGAGTCTGCGTGCGAGACGATTCGAATTCGACTCGAAAACAGCACGTAGACGCGGCTCAGAGGGAAATCGGTATGTAGTTCTTTAAGAGAGCGTTGTCGCCTTTCTTAAAGAACAAGACCACCGCACTTCTGCTCCACGCCTCCAGAGTAGCACATGTTGTACATCAATATCATATATGTTTAGTTTAATTCAAATTTTATTTAACCTCTGTGCGTTAATTGCACATATGTCTTTTCTCATGAGAGATACCAAAGGTTGGTGGTCAGATTGAATTAAAACTTTTCTACCATATATATAAATAATGAAATTTTTTACATGCAAATAATATAGCTAAAAACTTTATCAATCTGGCCCCACTCACACTCTTCTGTAGACAAATATTTTGATGCGAAAGCAATAGGGTGTCCAACAGTCGAATATAAGAAATCAATATTTCCCGAATTTAAATACTGAACTTATTTCACAACTTCAGAACATGTTGCATTAGGTTAATTGTATTTGTGATAACAATTATAAAATTGTTATAAATGCCGATAGGCGTCCAACTCAGGAACACCTTGGGCGTTATAACGTTCCATCCACAAATGAAATTGCTGTAGTATTGGTCGACCAGGAATGTGGTAGGCGTGATATTGTTATCCGTTCCCAGAGACAATCGTTTGCAACGTATTTACGAAACCCACAGGGCTTCGACAGTTTGCAATATCCTTTGATATACTCTCGAGGGGAAGATGGTTATAATTTCGCTTTATACCAAACTAATCCCGGTACAGGCGCACCTAATTATAATAAAAAGATGTCATGCCTTCAATTTTATTGTTACCACTTGCAAGTGAGACGGAATAGATTTGTATACTTTCAACGTTTTCGTGGCTTATTCAATCAGTTTATTGTTGACAGTACGCAAAAATTGAAACCGAAAGATTAGTTTATATACGATCTAATCAAAGGCAGCTGCGCGCTGAAGAATACGTGCACCTTCGCGACGCCATGCAGCAAGATAATGATACGGTGAATATGGGCCGTTTAGTTATTTTACCCTCTTCTTTTACTGGTGGTCCACGCTACATGCACGAACGTACTCAAGATCCTTTTTGTTACGTAAGAAAATATGGACGTCCCGACTTATTTATTAGTGTTACTACCATTCCCAAGTGGGATGAAATCACTCGGGAGCTCATTGAGGGTCAAGCACCGCATGACCGCCATGATATTATCGCAAGAGTTTTTCATTTAAAATTAAAATCAATGATAGATCTACTTACCAGACATTTTTGGAGATATATTATGTTATATGTATAGTGTTGAGTGGCAAAACGCGGCTTACCTCACGCACATATCCTGCTTTGATTAAAATATTAGGTTCGACCTAATGATGTAGACAGTTCAATCAGTGCTGAAATTCCAGATCCGATTGCAGATCCCGTGTTATACGACATTGTTAAAACTCATGATACATGGTCCATGTGGTGCATTTAACGGGAATGATCCTTGCATGCAAGACGGTCGTTGCACTAAAAGATATCCAAAAGCATTAGTGCATGAAACTGTAACAGGACATGATGGATACCTATTATATCGTCGCCATTCAAGAGACAATGGTGGTTTTACTGTTGAAAAGCGAGTGTCTGGACAACAGGTTACTTTACATAACAGGTGGGTCGTTCCGTATTCGCCTGTGTTGTCTAGAGCATTTCAAGCTCACATAAATGTTGAAATGTGTCATAGTGTAGAGTCAATAAAATATATTTGTAAGTATATTAACAAGGGCAGTGACCAAGCTACATTTGCGTTGAGAAAAGAACATGATGAAGTTACTAGATTTCAGTCAGGCAGATATATCAGCCTTTCAGAAGCTGTGTGGCGGATCTTAAGTTTCAACATTCACGAAAGATATCCACCTGTGACTCATCTGGATTTTGGTTCATCTTGAAGGCGGTCAACGTATATATTTCAACGCCGAAAATGTTACAGAACGGTTTGAGTAAACAACTTTATTAGGATTCTTTCGACTTTGCCAAACTGATGATTTTGCAAAATCTATTTTGTATGAGGAAGTTCCATCGTATTATACCTACGATAAGCAACGAGGTGTCTTTCATCATCGTTCAATCGTAGACGCCGTGGCAGGCCCGTAGATGGCGAGTCAGATATTTTCAAAGAACATGTTTTTGGTAGAGTGTGTACCGTTCATCCTAACAATGCTGAGTGTTTCTATTTGCGATTATTATTACACACAGTGCGAGGACCAACATCATTTATAGATTTGAGAAAAGTAAACGATGTTGTTTCAACTTATCATGCAGCTTGCCAAGCGCGTCGTTTGCTTGAAAATGATCAGCATTGGGATGACGCTTTAGCAGAATCCTGTGTTAGTGATAATCCACGACGGTTACGCCATTTATTTGTAACATTACTCACATTTTGTAATTTGTCAGATGCTGTACAATTATGGGAAAAATATAAAGAAAAATTTGCAGAAGATTTTCTTCGGAATATATCTCACAATGATGAAGGCGCAACTAATGATAATTTCCGTGATCTTGCCATAAATCTGTGCTTATTAGCTCTTCAGGAAGACTTAACAGCAGTAGGCGGTAAATCACTCTGTGAATATGGTTTGCCAACACCAACCTCAGTCGGAGAGGTTACCAATAGGGAATATTCCGCAGAGATTGGTTACAACTCAATGAAACTGCTGGCAACATTATAAAACGGTGTCCCAATGATGACTGCAGAACAACGTTCAGTCTATGATCGCGTGTGCGAGAGTGTTCAGAATAATTTGGGAACAATATGGTTTTTAGATGCACCTGGAGGAACTGGGAAAACCTTTTTAACTAAATTAATATTAGCTTATGTTCGAAATCAGCGTAAAATTGCTCTTGCCGTGGCTTCATCAGGTATAGCTGCAACATTGCTACCAGGAGGTAAAACTGCTCACACTATGTTTAAAATACCAATTGATTTAGATCGCACGGAAAGTCCAACCTGTAGTATTTCAAGAAATAGCGACATAGCTAAGGTATTACGTGAGTGTAATTCAATCATATGGGATGAATGTACGATGGCCCACCGAAAAGGAGTAGAAGCGGTAGACAGAACTTTAAGGGATATAAGACAAAATGATCGACCAATGGGCGGTATCACGTTTTATTTTGTGGTGATTTCCGACAAACCTTACCGGCAACCCGAGCTGATGAGGTTAGGGCTTGCCTAAAACGCTCTTATTTGTGGCGTGATATACAACAAACATGCGAGTGAAAACTTGAGATAACCCGGATGATCGTCAATTTTCTGATAAATTATTAAAGATTGGTGAAGGTACCTATCAACAACTACACCAACGAAAACTTATTCTGACGCCTGAGTTATGTTGTATAGTGCAATCCCAACCACATCTTATATCGTCGGTTTACGGTGAAGTAACGATTATATTAAATAGGGACTATTCTTGGCTATGCGAAAGATCCATTTTAACTCCTCGCAATGATCTGGCATCTGAGATTAATAACAAAATCCTGTCGAATATACAGGGGGAAAGCAAAGTTTATAGTTCAATAAATAGAATGGTCGATGAACAAGAAGCCACTAATTTCCCGATAGAATTTTCAAATTCTTTAAATATCCCCGGACTTCCTTCTCATGAAATTTGTTTAAAAATTGGCATTCCGATTATTCTGTTCCGAAATTTAACACTACCACAACTTTGGAATGGAACTCGGCTAAAAGTAACCCAGTTGCAACAAAATATAATCGAGGCTCAAATTTTAATAGGTTCCGGTGCAGGAGAAACCGTCTTTATTCCCGGAATTCCCATAATACCAAATAATTTACCATTCCAATTTAAAAGAACGCAATTCCCATTATCAGTGTGTTATGCAATGACAATTAATAAGGCTCAAGGGCAGACTTTTCGTGTTGCTGGAGTAGATCTCGGTGTCAGTTGTTTCTCGCATGGTCAGTTGTACGTCGCTCTTTCCCGGGTTAGCAGTTCTAAAAATCTTTATGTTCACGTGCCGGACGGGTCAACTTTCAACATAGTTTACCCGGAAGCTTTGCGCTGAAGTATTTTTGTTCTATAAGTACTTAAGCCTCATGTGTGTCAAAGGAGTGATGTTGCGGATGTCAGTGCTACTAGAAGTACGCAAAGCTTGTCGCGAAATAAAAATTAATATCTACGTCTAAAGTTATGATATCGATGTTTTGAAACATTTTTTCTGGACTTCAAAAACTGGTGCATATGTTAATAAATTAATCATTTGTGTGTTCTTAATGATTGTGGTGAAAGAAAATTGAAATAAAACATCTAAAAGTGAAATATAAGAGGTACCTTTATTAATAACTTTAATGTACATCGTCTATTTACCCTCGAACTACAAAGTGTCAATTACAATATATAGTCGGCGACACCTAGTGATAATCACCTGCATCATTACATTGCAATTAACTTAAACTAACGCGATGAAGTGCAGTGCGTGCGGAAAGTTTATGGCGGCGGTAGAGGGCGTTACGTGTCCTAAATGGCACAAATCACACAGGGCCTGCGTCAAAGTTCCTGAAGGTGTGCAGGTCCAACCTACTTGGTTATGTCCGGACTGTAAAATACGGACGCTCCGAAAGTCAGATCAGAATACGCCTGTGCGAGGACTTAATTCCGAGAATATTATCGAGCAAGGCGAAGAGAAACCCCAAAGCCCTGTGGCGCAAGGTTTCAAAGAGTCGGAACTAGCTCTTGAACTACGTAAATTTAGAGAAGACTGCGAGAAACCAGGGAAGAATTTAGATCTTTCCGACAGGAGATGTTTGATTTGCGTAATTCCATAAAATCGTGTGAAGAACGCCTAGATACATTAGAAAACAAATACATCCGTCTTGAAGAACAACAAATCCTAATTGAGTCAAAAAATGTCTGCGGCAAAATTCAGGGTCTCGAAACGATTATTGCGGACTTAAGAGCAGATTTAAATGATCGAGACAAAGAGCTGCTGTACAATGATATTGAAGTCGCAGGCATTCCAGAAGAGGGCGCAGAAAATGTTCTACACATTGTGACTGCGTGCGCTACTAAGATGGACGTAACCCTAGAAGAGCGCGATATAGTGAGTTGTGTGCGAGTCGGTCTTATGCGCGACGAGCAAAGTAGGCTAGCGAAGCCCCGTCCCATAGCCGTGCGACTGGCGCGCAGGCACACGCGGGACACTCAGCTGCGGGCCGCGCGCGTGCGCCGCTCCTTAACTACCGAAGGTCTAGGTCTCCGCTCCGAAAATACACGAGCCTTCTATATAAACGAACGGCTTACTAAATTGAACCGCAATGTATTTTTTAGAACTAAGGAATTCGCTCGGCGATTGGATTGGCGCTACGTATGGTCAAAAGAGGGAAAAATTTATACTCGTCGAGAACACGGAACAACGTCTTATCGCATAAAAAGTGAAGTAGATCTCGAGAGGGTTTTTGGAACAAATTCAGTTGGGGCTATCGGAAGCAATGGAAAAAAATATAAAAGCTATTAATTATCTGATTTTTTTTAAATATTACCTTATTCTGCTATTGCTCATTTTTATGTAAGTAAGTCATTAATAATTGTGTTTGTATTTTTATTTAAGAACTATTTTTGGATTCTATTTCTGTCAAATGAAATATACTATGCCTATACTCGTATGCCGAATAATAATATATCCTGGTTGGTTCTGGCACTTTCAATCTTTGACTCACTAGCGTTTTGTCTTTAAGTTCTGCAATACATACATACAATAATTACTATACGAGTACATTAAGGTACAAGAAAATTTAGTCAATGGATAACTATTTAAAAATTTGTCATATCCCCATAAATATTATTTATTCTATCAAATCACATAAAATTAATTTTGTCTGTACAAGAAGCAAACTAAAGTTAAATTTTGCGTCGGAACCTATTATGTCAAATAAATATGTATATCTAAAATTCGTTTATGGCTTCTAAAAGTAACGTAAAAGTTGGTCTTTTAAATGCAGGGTCCCTTGAAACGCGGCACGATGAATTTATTGTCGCAATGCAACGGCATAGTGTCGATATCATGGCCATCAATGAGACGTAGCTGCGGGAGGGCGAAGAGGGGCGCGCGGCCGCGGTGCCCGGCTACCGGCTGCGGCACGCGCCGCGTCCGCCCGACGTGCGCTCGCGCGGCGGCGGCGTCGGCTTCTATGTGAATGTGAAGTTGTGAATAGCGTTGCCAACTCAACTACTTCAAAATATGCTAGACTGGTGTAAAAAATATGCCAAAAATATGCTTACCTTCTCTAAAAAATGCCAAAAAAATGCCAACATAATTAAGAAGTATCAGTATTTATTGAGAAATTAAATCAAGGGAATAGAATATTAAGGTCTTCATCTTCATCAACATCAGCTGATGTGGAAGGCTGAGAGCCGGAGTCGTAATACTCTTTGGTTCCGATACTGCGTAGTACATTGTCTGGAACAGTGTAAGAGTAACAGCACTTTCCTGCTCTTTTTAGGCCGAACCTAACGTACAAAATGGCATTCAGGGTTCTCACCGCCAAACGGTTTCGGAGTTTTGTTTTTACCAGACTCATTTGGCTGAATACACGTTCAACGTCCGCATTTGAATGTGGCAATGATATAAGAGACATTGCAAACTCACATAACTCTGCAAAGGGGTTATTATCAGCTGCATCTTTATATTGCATGACTTCATTCCAGAACTTTACTGTGGAAGTCAAGGATTCCCATTTAATGTGAACTATATTTCTCCATTGAGATACCAGTTTTTCAATCATAGGTGCATTAACTCGGAACTCTTGGGCTATTTCGACAATGGATGGCTTAACTACTTTTAAAGTCTCTTGAACTGAAAACATGGATATCTTCTGAAGTATTTTAAAATTAACCGGTAATCTCGAACGTAGTTCTGTCACAAGTTTCAGTGTGAAATTATTACAACGTTGGCGTAAATAGTTTGCTGCATTAGGCTGAAGATTGTATTCAAGTAATTTGGTCTCAAAAGCATATCCCATGTATGGTTTCGGATCTAAATAGCTTTCTATGTCTTCTGTTAAAATATCTACCCTTGCCGTTGGGTTCAGAATACGCCGACCTATCGATTCCACTAAGCCAATCAAATCATTGTACAATCTTGTTGGGTCAACATCGTTACTTTCAAACAACTTGTTTACCACTTGAACTTCCTGTAAGATAGGTCTTATGTATAATAAGTACAAATGATTCTGTGGATCATTATACATGTTATATAGTATTTCTGCCGTATAGCAGTGTTCATCTCGCCTGGCAATTTCAAACAGGGTTTTTAATTCTATCCATTGATCAAGAATACGGCAGACCGCTGGTTCAATTGATATCCATCGGGTATTGCACATCTGTGGAATTGTCAATGGAACGGAGCCACCGTTGATCGTTTGAAACATGTTTTTGTAAAAGAGTCTTCGGTTTGATGAATGGCTAAACCAGTTATAGGTTTCTCTTATAAGAAATTCAACATTTCTTGGTAGGGTTTCTGCTGAAGCATGAGACATAGCCAACTGTAACGAATGACACACGCAGCGGACTAACACTAAATTGTCATTACCAGTTGCATTTTTCAACAATGCGTGCACTCCACTGTTAGTTCCTGTCATGACCGAAGCGTTATCCGTGCCGATACCGATCAATTTCTTTAAATTTATTTTTATTTCTGCCAACAATCCTTTAATGCCGTTCACTATGCTGACTGCAGTTCCGTCTTCAATCTCAACTAATCCCAAGAATGTGGAAATTATCTTTTTTAATGATCGGCTGAAATATCTTATCGAAACACCAAGCATTTTAAGTACCAATATATCTGTCGATTCATCGATTAAGAGACTGTACTCCTGATCTCCTAAATCTGTCACAATTTCTTGAATGAAGTGTGGTGCCAAAACATTTTTAATAATATTCGTGCATTTGGTTCGATGTAACTTGATGTCGCTGTATTTGCTGTCGACAAATCGGTATTTGCATAGTTCCGATAAATGATCTACAGCCATAATTGCACAGTGCTCGCAAACAAACAAAGCCAGCGAAGATTCTGCTTTCTGGGTATTCAGATCTTTTTTTACTTTAGGGAAGTTAATTTTTTTTGACTCTTCATTGGCTCTATTGCTTTTCTGTGCTTTGCTGATGAAATATGTAGCCTCAAAACAGACAATTTTGCAATAATTTCGCATTTACAATACTTACAGTACGCTTTCGAAGTATCGTTTTCAACGGGCTGCAACCACTCTTTAAAGTCTGCCATTTTCTCCCAGTCTGCCCGGTAATGTTGACTATACTTAGGCACCATAATAAAAATATCAAATTATAAAAAAGGAACACGAAAACACGGATAAGACGAGACGACGATATGAGTGAGTCCACATCCACAACAATAAACAATGTTTTTGACAGAAAGCGACGTAGGCGCTGGGGAATGGATAATAGTAAGGGAATTCTATCCCATAGACATCACCCTCACAAAACTGACCACTCTCTAGAAAGAGACAAAGTGAATACGCGGCCAATACATGTGTATTTTCTGCAAGGCGCAGGTAAGGCGTAGAAAGAGACAATAACTGGCGGCACATTCGCTTTGTCTCTCTTGTACTTCGTCCATATTTACTTTATACCTGAATAAGGGCTCAGTCCATTCTCTATGTCTAAGGGGAATCCCGTAGCACAGAGAATATTATATTCGCTTCAAAAAAGGGTTGCCATGCTAGTGAATCACTAGTAGTGAAGTGGGAAATTGATTGAGGTAGGTATCGATATCAAATTTTATTTCAAGAAAGATTGTAATTTACATTCTTTTCATGTTTTATAAGAATATGCTGAAATAATATGCTATATGCTAAAAGCAAAAAAAATATGCTAAACAAGAAGAAAATATGTCAAATTTAGCATATAATATGCTAAATTGGCAACACTAGTTGTGAAGCGAGGCGTCGGCGTCCGCGAGCTGCCCCACCCCCCGGCCCCGCTAGTAGAACAAATGTGGATCTCGACCTCTAGCGGCGGAAAGCAACTCGTTATCGGTACCGCGTATAGACCGCCGTGGCTGAATGTCGATACATTCATAGACGCGCTTACCGTTACTATGGGGACTTTCTCATGGAGCCAAAACTTACTTCTTCTCGGTGATTTTAATATTAATATGTTAAATATGACGCATAATACCACTATAAAGCTAAATAATTTTCTTACTTGCTTCAAATTAAAACAGCATGTAACTAAGCCAACCCACTTTACGGAATATAGCGAGACTTTAATTGACGTAATATGTACCGACATAAATGTAAACGCAGTTACTGTGGAACTTATACGAGAATTAAGTAGTCATGCTTTTATTACATGTCAAATTGATATGAGTAAAAAAAGCCGGCACCAGTAACAATAATGAGTAGGAGAATTTCTGACATAGACGAGGGACACTTTCATAAGGACCTTACATATATAAATTGGAAAGAAATTGAGAGTATCACGGATGTAAATAATCGGGTAGTGCTATTTAACACAGCCATCCTTACACTATTTGAAATTCACGCGCCTCTTAGAAAAAAAAAATGATTAAACATCAGCAATTCCCGTGGCTAACCTTTAATATAAAATTGATGAAAAAACGAGATGACAAATACATTAAAATGAGAAAAAGTAAAAAAGACATACATATTAAATACTATAAAGATCTAAAAATCTGCGTCAATAAAGCAATATATACAGAAAAACAAGCCTACTAAATTTTTATGTTAATCGTAATATAAGTAATCCCATTTCAATGTGGAAACATATAAAGTCCAATGTTAAGATAAAA